CAGAACACTTAAAATCAATGAGGATCAGTTTACTAATGGACATGCCTTAGCGGTCAGAATTGTGGTACAACAAAAGAAAGAGATGGAACAAAGTTTCGGACAATATCCATCTCTCTCACGATAGTGCATAAGCGTGTCATGAAAGAGATAGCACTAGTCCGAAACTATACGCCATCTCCCTCACTTTTCGAGCCAAGAAATTATTACAATGACATACGGCTAAGGCACGTCCATTAATATATGTCTATGGTTAGGATATTGTACCTATTTATTGTATTTTTGAAGTAAAACTTCTATATATATAGACGGGGGTATTACGATTTTTCTGTCATGAAAAAGCGTTACGGCCGCGTTGAGGGGATAGACGATATATCTCATGTTGAGTGGCGGCAGCGGCGGAGGGAGAGAAGGGCTGGCGGAGGCGAAGAGAGGGCAACGACTGTATTAGAAAGATATAATGCGCAGCCGTGCGGAGAGCGGGATGTCCGATAGAGTCCCGGCTGTGTGTGCTGTGCTCAGCTGTTGTTTTCTTACCTCTGCTCTCCACGTGGCTGGGCATCATTGCTTCTATTTGCGGTCTGAGTAAAAACCAGATCATAATTTTCAGTAAAGCTGTGAAAACGAAATGTATACTGGGACACATAGTAGAAGTGAAACTTCAACGGACAAGTGGAAAAACGAATCGTAACAAAATTTTTATTTAAAGTTTTACGGGCAGGTTTTCAAATTAAACAAGTACATTAAAAATCTACCCGTAAAGCTTGAAGTAAAAATTTTGTTACGATTCGTTTTTCCACTTGTCCGTTGCCATTCGTTTTTCCACTTGTCCGTTGAAGTTTCACTTCTACTATGTGTTCCAGCACACATTTTGTTTCATATTCCATTTTATTTTATTATTATTTTTTTAATTTATGTATTTTATTTTTGCTCTTATTTTAAAGGGGAGTCACATGAAATAATCTGAGTACTGCCATACATCCACTATTATCTAACATAAGCGAAATAGTAATATTATTTTTCGTTTAGGCCATATTAATCGTTTGTCCTGGAATTATAATTGAAAAGCACGTTTTAAGTCCTCATGAACTTTGTATTCACTGTCCAGATCCATACGTATATGATCCGGCGGATATATTTGCAGCTACATTAGATGCAGAATCAGTCTTAGATATTGCCTTGTACAATCCAAACATTGACATACACGAAAGTATAACCAGTTTGATAATGTTTGGTATGAAAATAAGAAATCATTAGAAAATAATAAGTTTTTTAAATATTTCCTTTTTAGGCGATGCAGACTTAGCCAACGAAATAGAGTGGGGCTGTACGTTAAAGATAAATGCGTTACCAGCTCCTGTTAAATTAAAAGTTTGTGGTTTATTGGATCCACCAGAGCCTCAAGGAAAAGACTGGTGTTTACTTGCTTTTCGATTAGGACTCGAATCAGAGGTCATAGCTTCACTTGATTTACCACACACCAGTCGTACAATGAGACTGTTAAATGCAGTAGATTGCACTATAGGTATTTAGTTCTTTATAATTTTATGATTCTGAGACGGCGAGGCCTGATCGACACTCTTTGTTCATCTTCTTCCTTCCCTAGACAGGTCACATTCATCACATCACATCCTCTTCTATTATTTATTCCAAAAGATTCGAACGCCTTTGCCGCAAAACTAATGTCCGTAGTTTTGGTCCTACATTTTATCACATCTTTTCTTATTACGGCAACTTTGTAATTTTTGAATATTTACTAGCAATTATTTTTGTTAAGTTTTCTCAACTCTACTTATTCTTCTGAAATAATGTGTTTTTCAATATTTTGCTTCACAAAATGCATAAAGAAATATCTGTTAGTGAGTATTCTCATATTTCCAAGAGTTTGAAAAGAAAATTAGAGATTAATAACTTTCAGTAAAAAGATTATGCAATTAAACCACATATAAAAAATAAATTAAGTGTAATTTATAAATAACGACAGACAGCTGTAAACGCCATCTGCAGAGATTTGCCACTACTTAATTAAATAATTAAAACCTACCTTAAATAAGGGTCACCATTTAATTGGCGTGAACACGTGAAAAATGAAGAGTTTATTTTCTACCAAAAACCTCGACGTTTCATATTTTCACCCAATAATAATTTTAAATAACAGATAACTAATTGTAATTTTTTATAATGTTGAGAAAAACAGTAAATAACTCATTACTAATTTTTAATATCCATTCGTAATATTATTTAATAATACTCATATTCATCGTATGAGCTCCTAATGTAGCACTTATTGTTAGTCACAAAAACATTGTTTTATTTGTTAATTACAATTGCAAGAGGTTTATATAAATAAGAATAACTCGTAGTTTTGTTGTGAGTTTCAAAACTTTCACACTATGAGACTAACAAGATGAACAAACTTTTATAATCCAATGTGCCTTAATTAGTTTTTATTGTATATTTTTGAAAACAAAATACTTGGTGCTTTTCTTAGCTGATCTGTTTTATTCCACAGGGGCTCTGATAGCAAATTTGCATGATTTAGGAAGAAAAGATGTAGCGGACGTTGTATTACGTTCTGCACCATTAGTGCATTTAGTGAAGAACTCAAGCCTTTTAGACTAGAAGTGTAGTTTTTTAATTTTAAGTGTTGCATAATTAAAGTACAAAAATTACAAATCAACCTTAAAATAATTATTTCTATATAATGTTTCTCCATGATAACCGTAATTTAGATGCATTTCTTATATTTCTTAAAAATTTTATACGCTATGGCAAATGTGAGTAAATCATCGGTGTTGCTCCTATTCATAATTCTACTAAAAAATTAGTACGATCGAAAAATTGTAATTTCAGTTATTTAAACTATAAAAGAAACATTATTAATTAATAAGGAGCTTGTAAGCAGGACAGCCGTTCAATGAATATAAAAAATAATTTTTAAATTATTCGCTATAACATCTATTTAACAATTTCTATGCTTCATGTTAATAAATAAGAAATCCTGCAAAATGTTAAAAATTAAGTTCAATTAACATATATATTGGTAATTCTGGAGCATTGAAGCAATCCTTAATATATATTATTCATTTTATTCAAAATTAATTACATTTTAAAAAACGACTTATTAATCTACTAAATTATGCAAACAACACTTTACAGCATATGCATTTGTTTTAAGTATTTTATGTTTCAATAAACAGTATTCTAAAAGTTCTTGTTTACTTTGTCACTATTTAAAAATGTGCCATTTATTATTCTTCAAAAAAAAAAAATTGCATAACAAAATATTTTAGATGCATAATATTGAATATCAATTGATTTGTTGTTGATAGAGATATCTACTTTAATTATAAAAATTCAGTGGCTTTATCAACATGCATGTTGTGTAAACAATTAACATGATACCTCTCCAAAAACCTCTAACCTTAAGTGCACTTTATAGAAAATGTACACAGCTGTCTATTGTTTCCAGTTTAACATTATTTTATATACACGATGCCCATCATAATTTTGATTTACAGACTTTTCCTGCTTATGCATTGGGACTTGATATATGAATTCATGGTGGGGTCTTGTTTTCACAAAATCAGCAAGTTGTGGTTCTTTATCTTTTTGTGGATATGGTGCTCTACTAGGAATCTGTTTTGCTTTTTGTTCTGTCTCCTCCACCGAAAGAGGTATTAAATCCTTAAATATTTTTTTATCCGTAGGGAAATTGAGATACTTTAATGTCTAAAACATTTAATTGTTTATAACATCTATGATTACATAATATATCACTTACTTTTTCATTTAAAGTAGATTGGCTTTTCTTTTCTAACTCCATTGTAGTAGTTCTACTTGTGGGATGCACCAAATTGATTATTTTAGATGGAGTCTTTGAAACAGACTGACTAATTAACTGCCGACTATTTCTCTCAGAAGGGAAGTTATAATGGTTTATTTCACTTTCGGACTTCTCTTTTTGAGAAATTTGTTTCTCTTCATGTTCAAAAGTAACTGTTGTTTTTGGTAAAGGTTGCTCCGTGTTCCTTATTAGCGATTTTTTGTATTTAGCCGGTCTTAATCTACTCATTTTAAACTAGTACAAAGTAATACATAAAAAAATGAGTAGAATGTTTTATGATAAATACAATTCAACAAACTGTCAGTCCTTTTCTATACACATTATATTTATTCTTTAACTCAAAATTAGTCTTTTTTGTGAATATAAACAGTCTGATTAAAGCAATAGCTTCATTTAATTATTATTCAAACTGTCTATGACCAGTGATCAACATATGCACAATGAACTTCTCTTTCATGTTTTTTTAGAAAATGCCTAGATTTTGCTTTAAAACCACAACTACTACAAGTAAAGATACAATGTACTTGTCGCAAATGGTAATCAACACCCTTTTTCGAAATAAGCATTCTTCGACATAATGGACAATACTTTAAATGCTCTCTTTCTTCTTTAACAGTTTCTATAATCTCATCAAGTTCATTAATAACATCAATTGTTGAACGTTCTTTATTTTTTTCGGTTTTTTTTTTATTCAATGCTTGATCTAGAAGCTTATCCAATTCTTCCAAAAAACCCACTTCCATTTTATTACAAAATTGCTGTAAAGCTAAAATTCATACTGCAAAAGAATTGTTACTCACTTTTGATTCATTAAAAACAGAAATTATTACTGGAGTCAACTGATAGTTGACTGCATTGACTGTATCTAGGGACAACTGATAGTCGTGATAGTCAATGGAATGATTGATAGCATAGACATATATTAATGGACGTGCCTTAGCCGTATGTCATTGTAATAATTTCTTGGCTCGGAAAGTGAGGGAGATGGCGTATGGTTTCAGTCTAGTGCTATTTCATGACACGTTTACGCACTATCGTAAGAGAGATGGATATTGTCCGAAACTTTGTTCTATCTCTTTCTTTTGTTGTACCACAATTCTGACCGCTAAGGCATGTCCATTTGTCCATTAGTAAACGTCGATGATTGATAGTATATATTTTTTTAATCTATGGGAATTGGCGTCAGTAGCGTCGTTTCGACTGTAGAGTGTAGGCACACATACCTAACACATACAAATACATACATTTTGTTAGGGCTACACTATACATGCTGGAGTTTTCTGTAACCAACGTTGCATTGAAGCGCGCTCACGGCTCAAGCGATCCCCACTACGAATTCGACTACGTGGCCGAGTAGAAGGGGGACGTCCGTTGCATGATTTTGTTACATAGCAATCGCATGAAACGAACTTACCCTACCGTGCGTAAAGAAGTTTCACTTATATATATAGTTATTATGTAATAAAAAAAATTGCTAAAAATTTTGAACGGTTTAAAATATTGCATTTCTCTTAAATAAAAATTTAAGTGACTCGAGATCTATGGAAACACAATTACTTAAAGAACTACCACAGATATGCATAGACATATATATTAGTGGACGTGCTTTAGCCGTATGTCATTGTAATAATTTCTTGGCTCGAAAAATGAGGGAGATGGCGTATGGTTTCGGACTAGTGCTATCTCTTTTATGACAAGCGTACGCACTATCGTGAGGAAGATGGTTATTGTCCGAAACTTCGTTTCATCTCTTTTGCTGTACCACAATTCTGACCGCTAAGGCATGTCCATTAGTAAACGTCGATGAATTTATGTAACTAAATACGATATATAAGTATGATAACTAAGGTTTATAACTATTTACAGATATAAGATTAAAGTAATATTTACAGAAGTATTTAAGTCATTATTGTACATCACAATGACCATATATCTATGACATTTAATAACTTCAATTACGCTTTGTATATCTATTATCTATGAAATTAACCTCACTAAAAATTATTAAGTTAACCTCGTTGCTTCACACTACTTTCTAAGATTTTTTAAATTGTAGATGAAACCAAACAATTTTTTTTAATCAGTCATAATGAAAGTGCCTGCCGTTACAAGGAATGCTAAAAGTAGCGAATCAAAAAATCGACAGAAAATTAAACAATTAGTGAAGAGCTCTCGAATGAAATGTACTTTAAGACCCCATCTGAAAAGTGGAAAAACATCTAATAAAAATAAAAGCATAACTCTATCAAAAGACATGGAAATTGGTAAGGTGAAGAGAGGAAATAAACAGAAAGCTCATTTGGGTTTTATAAAAGATACTGAATCAGATTCTGAACATTTTATTGATGAAAGTGAAGAGGAAACTAACAATGAAAAGTCTATTTTTGATGAAAAAGCATCTGAAAATGATTCAGATACTAATTCCGTCGAAAATTATGATAACGAAGTGGAAGCTCACAAAAAATCACTTGCAAAACTTAAGGAAGTAGATCCGGACTTTTACAAGTTTTTAGAAGAAAACGATAAAAAACTGTTACATTTTGATGTCTCAGATGAAGAAGAAAACAGTGATAAAGAAAGAGAAGAAGCTGAATCTGTCCACAAACCCAATAGAGATCTTGAGGTTGCAAGTGATGAAAGTGATTTTGAAGTATGCATCTTTTTAATTTTTTATTTAATTTTATATAACTGTTTATATTTCAGTCTACTAAAGATGATTTAGTTGATGGTGAGCTATGTAAAGTTACTCTTAAAATGCTTAAAAGATGGCAAAATGAGTTACAAACTGATAAAAGCAACAAAACAATTAGTTGTGTGATTAAAGCTTTTCATGCAGCATTAATACAAATATCTTCACAGAATGATGAAGAAACTCCTGCATATAGAGTGGAAGGTAGTTTTTTGTCGATTTAGAAAAATTTATTATGCTAATCAAAAATTTTAAAATACAGGTTCATCAGTATTTAATGCTGTTATCCAGCTATGTGTCTTGGAGTTGGGTCCTGCAGTTCGTCGATATCTTGGCATCACTTATTCTAAACAGCCGCCACACAAATGTAAACGCTTTGTGAAAGTTAAATCATTATTGAAAGGATATTTTGCTGATTTACTTAAAGTAAGAAGTGCTTAGTTTTACAGTTAGTGAATTATTAAAATTAATATGCACATTTTTTAGCTTTTGGGTGGCGTAACTTCTCCAAACATACTTACAGTTCTCCTTAAACATATGCACTATATGCTTCCTTTAATGGTATCATTTCCAAATCTAGCAAAACCAGCCATTAAGCAACTGGTTCATCTTTGGGGCACAGCTGATGAAACTGTCAGAGTTATAGCTTTTCTTTGCATCATCAGATTAGTTAGTAATCAACAAATAAGTCTTTTGGATACTACGTTTAAAACAATGTATTTGACTTATGTTAAAAATTCAAAGTTTGTGAGTGTATCTACTTGGCCTGCTATAAACTTTATGCGTCGCTCATTGGTTGAAATATGTGCCCTTGATCTAAATGTCGCATACCAACATGTTTTTTTATATGTAAGACAACTGGCTATACATCTGCGAAATGCTATAACAATGCATAAAAAAGAACACATCCAAGCAGTATACAATTGGCAGTTTGTAAATTCATTAAAGCTGTGGGGTAATTTGTTGGAAAATACGTACGATAAGCCACAATTGCAGCCGCTGCTGTACCCTTTTGTACAAGTGTGTTTGGGTATGATTAAACTGGTACCTACTGCACAATATTATCCACTTAGATTTCATGTCTTACAAATTTTGATCAATTTGTCAAAGGAAACGGGAGTTTTTATTCCTATCTTACCATTTTTAATCGAGGTAAGGCCCACATAAGAAATTACATTATTTATCTATTTATTTATTTATTCATTTATTTANTATTTATTTACTTATTTATTTATTTATTGGAGAAAACAAATAGGCTGTTGAGACAGCCTAAAGAGAATAATATTAAAGCCACGGGAGGGAGCAGACTTATTAATTATAGAAAAAAAATAGATATGAAATGTAGGTAAATAAATTAATAGATACAATTAATAACTATAAAACAATCAGGTTCTTAATCAAAACTCATGCTGAGATATCAATGCAAATATCATAGGTTTAAAACACACTTATTCGGTTCATGTTGAATGTCCGCCGAAAGCTGATTCCAGGATCTTAAGATCCGAGGGATAGTTGAATTGAAGTGGTAGTTTGAACAACTGGGTATTTCAAGTACTTTATGACTAACGCAGAGGCTATAAAGTCCTTCGTGAAGGATCATCATCATGTGCAAGTTTTAAGTCAACGAGACGATGCAGGGAGGATACCGGTAAGATGTGAAATAAGATTGGAATTATTATAATTGTGGTCGAATGGAAAAAAGGGAGTATGATTACGATAAGCTAAAATTCGTAAAAATCTATTTGCACTGCTTCGACTTGCCTTCTGTCGTAAAGGATATATGGTGACCATATTGTTGCTCCATAGGGCAATATTGGCGTAACGAGTGACTTATATAGATACATAAAAGTATGAACATTAATGAATTCATTTGTTACCCTATGAATACAGTCAATCATTCTATTTGCCCTACGATACACATCATTTACCTGAGTGTCAAAACGTAGGCAAGTATCGAAAAGAATATCAAGATCTTTAACAATGTTTATGCGTGTCAGTACTGTATTACAATGATGATATGTAAAATTCATAAATCGACGCGGTCTATAAAACGACTGAACGGAACATTTATCAACATTCAAAAAGTGACCATTTTGTCGACACTAGGACTGAACAGAGTGCGACCGGAGGTTCGCAGCATCTATTGCATTGTTCATTATTTTGTAAATTTTTGTCATGAACATAGAGTAAAATATTACTATTTTTCACACAATGGGTAATATCTTTAATATTTAATAAAGATTACATAAAGTAGTGGGCCAAGATGGGAGCCCTATGGGACACCAGTAGACATATAAAAAGGTCGAGACAAACTGTTGTCAATTGAAAGGGCATCAGCCAATCCAGAGTGGCACCACGAATCTCGACATTTTCCAGTTTCATGTTTCAAGGAATCAAAGGCGCGAAAAAAATCAAGATACATGGTATCGACCTGACCGATGTCTGCGATCACCTGGGACACGAAGTATGTAAAACTTACAAGGTTTGTTACCGTCGACCTGCCAGTCAAGAAACCGTGATGATCTTTAGATATCACATGACATCCATTCTTGTATTTTCATAACAATGATGTAGTCGAGCAGTTTGGGAAGGATACTAATAGTAGAAATGGGTCTATAATTCGTTACTTCAGACGGATCACCGTTTTTAAGGACCTGTGTAACATACGGACTCTTCCAGGCACTGCGGAAGGAGCCGGACTGTACAGAGGTGGAAAATATAGTATGGAGGGACTCAACTAGCACGTCAGAAAGTGGGGAGACAAACCACGTAAGCAAACCATTCGGGCCAGGGCCGTAACTGGTTTTCATCCTCTTAAGAGCGTTTACAACATCACTTATTGAGACATTAAATAAGTCATATAATAGGTCAAGGGTAATGGGCACCTCGAGTCTGATGGGAAGAAAAAAATTATAACTTGTATAAAAAGTATTAAAATAGGAGGCAAAAAGATTGGCTGGTTCAAGAGGGTCAGACCAGGTATTACTGCTATAAGTAAAGAGTAAAGGTAAACCTCCGGATTGACGTTGCCCATTGACATATGACCAGAAAGATTTTACGTTGTGACGACACGAAGACTCAATAGAGTCCAGGTACTTTCTATAGCACATCTTACGATGTCACAGACATAAAACACGTAGTTGCCTAAATTCAATATAGTCACTTTCGGTGTGGGATAATCGGTAACGAAGATGGGCGCAACGCTTATCCTCAATGTTGGCTATAAGCTCCTTGGAAGGGCGTCGTCGGGGCAACGGAACATGAACGGTCACCAGGTTATTTAGAAAATTATAGAAGTTTTGAACCATGGTGTCCAAATCTCCGCAAAATTCAAAAAATTGGGTCCAGTCCGTTTGTTGAAGGGATGTCCGGATAAACTGAGTGTCAGTCTGACGAAAATCGCGATAAGTATATCGCTTATCTGAAGCTGGCGATAAAGTAGCAGGGACGTGGAATATAACTGGTCGATCCGAATCGATAGTTCATTAACTGTAGATTTAAATTTTCTATGGTTCTTGCGTATTGTTCATACACAGACACATCAGTACCTGGAGGGAAATATGCAGCACTAATAATTAACTTAATATCACCACGGAGGCATACACGAACAATAGCACATTCGGTATTAGTATCCGGATACTTGATAGAGACTGACAGTAAGTGGGATCTTACCGCGATGAAATGCCACCATCTCTGACAAGAGTTGGATTCGCCCCTATCTTTTCTGATGATAGTGTAGCCATCCAGGACGAGAGCTGAGATCTTTTGGCAAGATCACCACGTCTATATAAGAACAATTACGTCAGGCCTGAGGGGACACGTTGCCAAAACTGTGCTGGAGAGAGAGAGTTTAGTACAAAATCCACAAACGTTCTGATAGCAAACTTAAATTCTCTGCAGGGGAGCCTTTGTGTTTTTTTGAATTCCTTGGACGGCCTTTCGAAGCCAAGAGAGTTGGTATATTCCTCTAGTACTTTGCGCTAGGTTGGTCGGTTGGATGGGCTGCATTGTGTTTAGTAAGGACATCATAGATAAGGCCAATATATTCCCTCTGGTGTTGTGTTTTGTCTATAGTTGCACGCACCCTGGCTGGAAGGAATGCAGTGTTCTTTATGATCGAAAAGATCTGGTCTCTTGAGTCAAGTTGTATGCAGATGGGTCGTACATTCCCCATTGTTGGTTTGTCAAATCTAAATACTCTATCTTTGACTAAAGGAAGTGCTGGTATGGTCACCTTATTGCAGACTTCATGCAAAATAGTCTTAACCTTCTCTTGTGTGATCAGTACCCCCACCTCATCCCGTTTGCTAGGTCGAACTCCACAATACCAACAATATCAAGTTTTTCTTCTTACTGTTTCAATCCATAGTTTTTTCACGTATCTCATTTAGAACGGTCACCAACCTGGTTAGATAAACTAATCAAATCATTTATATAACCGTCTAATTTTGAATCTTGCTCAGTCTTTCTTCGATCGTAGTAATTATAGGTACAGCATTTGTAATTATATTGTCAAAATCATCTGGGAGACTAGCCTCATGGGGGAGAACACAGGCTGTGGAAGTGATGCAGATATCACTATCTGACTTTTGAGTAACTGTACATCTGGCCAAGATCGCGCATTCTTTGTGATAGCGTGCATTGCAGTTTGAGCAATGTACGTAGACCGCAGTCAGGGTTGAGCATTGTTGATAAGAGTATTTGTTAACCGAGGATAAAAACGAGACGTTCGCACTCATATAACTACGATTTCCGGTAGGCGCGGACACAGTAGGAACTGTAAGGCGTGTCTTGAGTTTAAGGTTAAATCCACGTTTCTTCATCATAACTCTGTGACGAGCCAACTAACTAATTTACAATTAATATCAATAGGCACAACCAAAGCCTCCTATACAACTTGCTAATTTACAATATTCATTCGGTAATCACTTACAATAAAGAAAATATTGGAGCAGACAAACCAAAAACTATTTCGCATGCGCCCTCTGACGACTTTTATATATTATTATCTACACTATATTTATTTAATGTATGGTTGTGTTTAAGAATATTTAGTAGAACCTGTTTTTTATTGATTTTTTTTTTCTTTAATAATGGCTACATTGTTAATTTTTGTTTGATTTGTAGGTTTTGCAAACATTCGACTTCAATAAAAAGCATACAAAAGTTTCAATGAAACCTCTTCAATTTACCTGTATATTGCGTTTATCCAAATCTCAGATGCAAGAAAACGGTTTCAAAGACACTCTAATTGAATCAATTTATGCACAACTACTGGAGTACTTGTCCTGTCAATCCCACTCAATAGCTTTTCCTGATTTAAGTCTATTTTGCGTTATGCAGGTATTAACTAAACAAAGAAAAAGCAATATTAATACAAAGCCAATTTTTTAATTTTTCAGATAAAGAAATTTTTAAAGGTTTGTCATGTTACAAATTACTGTAAAAAAATGCGACAGATTCTCGAGAAAATTCAACAGACAAATGCTTTCATCGAAAAAGAACGTAAAAGTCTATCGGTTTCTCTAACCGACTCGAAACAAATAGAAGCTTGGCAGACACTGACTAAGAATAAAGGAACTCCACTAACGACTTACTATGATGAATGGAATAAAATTAGGACGATAAAGAAAAATAAACTGGCAACTGAGAATGATAAAATCGGCGAATACAATTTACCCATTATAAGGAAAACGAAAAAAGAAAAACCGGATAGCGAAATTAAAAATCCACCTAATCCATTCCCTAGCGATAGTGAGTCTGATAACGAATTTAATTTCGGCGAAAGTGATGACGAGAAATCAACAGAAAATGAGCGAAAAACCAAAAGAGGCGCAAGAGGTAAAGGAAAGACAAACAAGAAACTAATTAGAAGGGATAATGACAGCAATTCTGTAAGTCCCGACGGAAGTGATGTTGAAGATTTAATTGAAGATATAAAATTAAGCGAATGGTAGTTCTTAATATGTATGTAGTCTTGTTTATAATAATTTTAAGAAATAAAAATAGCAATAAGGGCTACTAGAGAAAAAACTTTATCGTATTTCATTCCCACTAGCTAATGCTGTAGAAAGAAACGTAACTGTCTGTACGAGTGGGTATTGTTGGGTTTCTTCCAAGGAATACTTACTAACCAAAGCGGTCTTCTTCATCCGTATACGTTTAATACTTATTACATTCTAGATATCCTTTTAACAGGCAGTTGCTGAATACATTTAGGAGCCTCAACTCTCCAGAAGGAATACATCCTTAGTACCCATAAGCGAGATACGTCCCTCTACACATACAAATCCAAACCCATACTAGCGAATACGTTTCACTGTCATGTACTGAGAAACATCCTAATATTTCATTATTAACGGAATGTCTCGCCCTCCCCTTTCCCTAGTAGCAAAGCAAATAGCCAATACCAATTTGTCTCGGCCGCTAGCCGGCGGAATTTCAGGTTGATGTCTGCTGAGTACAGAGGAAAGGCCCCGCCGTCGTCGAACAGTGCGTGTGATCTTTTTTGTACACTCTGTCAATCCACGTAAATACCATATCAGTGAACAAATTATGTACTATACTTCATTTACTTTCTCTAGCGATGTGCCCCTTCCAATATCTTGGATGTGCGCTGGCAAAATCGTAGGTAGGGAGAAAAAAGCTCATTATGCTCTCGACTGTTGTTCATTAAACATACTTTTTCATACAGTACCTGCCAAAAGTTTTGTTCAATCATGAATAGTAGTGCGAGTCGAAAACAAGCGTTAAAGCCTTAATATGTCTTCAAATATAAATAAGCATCTCGTAGATATTTTCAGTAGTAATTGGTACCAATAACAGCACATTTGAGCAATGCAATTATAGTGGATAAAATGGTAAACTTTTCCGTGCAGTACTGTGCGGATTATACGCTCCTCGCCGGTTGAGAGTTTGACTGAGAGTTGTCTCCTTTTTTTTCTGGCCTAGTGCTGTTCTTTTCTACTTTGCGCCGGTCAAACTGAACGTCACATCGCTACAGTAGAGGGAGCGATGTTGAGTGGCATAGAGTTATGTGTATTACCTTTTTTTATTTTCGTGGAAGAGCAGACGACTGTTGGATTCTTTTAATACCGGAACATCTTCTGATTCACATAATAATTCATATGCATTAGTGAACTATAGCGATGGTTGCTATGGGGGAAGGGTATATATATATCTCTAAAAGTAGTTTTTTTCAATTTTAATATCTATCTATCTTCATTGCATATCAATCATATTGTTTTCGTCGTGACATTGAACGTTCGTCTCCCTTTAAAATCATTAATTCAGTATAAGGATTTGACAATTACTGAATGTGAGAACAAAATTGCCTTAATCGAAGACCGTCTGGCTCAGCTAAGCATGACCAAAGGAAGCTGATAGTTGAAAAGTATAATAATTCATTTCCTAATGATAAATTAATTGTCCATAAGATTTATGAAAAATTAATTGTAACAAATTGATCAGAGATACAAAAAATTTGGCTGTCAGGAAAGTCATCCTGACTGTTTACTGCCAATAAAGGGATTGCGAACTAAGCTAAAAGTTCTAAAATTAAGCATTGCATCGTGTACGTATTCACCAGATATCACAATCCTCACCGAAACTTGGCTCTTACTATACTTGAGCATTGCAGAAGCTTTCATTGAAAGCAATGATGTGTACAGGCTGGATCGAGATCCTCCAATCACTGATAGATTTAGAGGTGGTGGGACTCTCATTGCAGTGCAAAAGAAGTTTATCATCTCGCTATTCATTATAATACACAAGAGAGTTGAACAGTTTCTCATTAGAGTTGAAGCTTATGCACAGAAAATCATTGGTGCTGCATATTTTGCTCCATTCTGCCTCATTGAGGATTACATTAGTCATACTGAGGTAATTGAGAGTCGTTCTAATAGCAATCCAACCTTCAAGTTTATGGTTTATGGTGACTACAACCTGCATAATGTTAAATGGCTCAATGAACCCATTGAGTTTTAATATCGATATACAATACATTCTATTGCTGAGAAGTCCAGGGCAATCACAGATGCATTTAATATGCTTGAGCTTTATCAAGTTCATCTAGTGATAGTGGACAATAAAGATTATACTCTTGATTTACTTTTCATGGACTGTCCAGGAATCAGTCACTTTCCATGTTTGAATACTCTCCCAAAAATTAACGTTTATTACCCTCCTGCAATTTTTAGCGTGCTGTGCCATACTCACTCTAGTAATAATTTAAATTATTCGTTAATTGATTAATTGATTATTAACGTTTATTGGTTTAAACTGCACTAAAAGAGTAGATAAATTTTGTAACATAATTAATGATATCATATATGGACCTATAAAACGGGTCCTAGTGATTACCGAACATGGTTTAATATAGATCTTACCTTTATCTATACATTTACAAAAATTTCCAAAAATGTTGGCACTGGACGTAACGTTGAGAAGCTATAGGAGGACCTTGATAGATTTGCAAACTGGTGAATAAATAATGGTCTTATTTTAAGTTTTAAATGTCGATAAATGCCAGGTCATGTTTTTATATAAAATACGCGATAGTTTGGCTTCTAATTAGTCGTTAATGAACTCTGACGTGGTCAAATCCTCGGATGTCAAGGACCTAGGAGTGATTTTCAATGGAAAATTGAGGTTCAGTGGGAATACGATTTATTCTAGAATAAAGGTGACCGTCCCAAGCTTGTTGTAGTTTCGGGCAACGCCCCTTCCGGCACGATGGATTGTATAGCCTCACATTCGGAATTCGGAATGCAATTCTATTGGTAAGCGCTTCCTGATTAGGTATTATGCTATGAGCCACTTGCTAAAGTAATTCATGACGACCAAGATGTATTGATTATCGAAGTCTATCATTGTGAATGGTCATGCCACGTCGACTGCGACTTTTTGTTTTCTGTCCCTTACAGCGACGCATTGAGCATTTCCTTCACCAGTCTTTCTACTTTTTAGCCAATAAAGTCACTCGCGTACCTTCCCAAGAACCCTCATAATGCTAAAATATCCTTTGCCATGGATTGTTTCTAATACTTCTGAAATTCTTGAAAAATACCACTTGAAGTTTGTTTCTGGTTCCATCTGGACTCTCCCACATTTTTTTAAAAACGCCATAGCCCAAGGTAAGGGAGGTCCACTGGGCCCAATAATTTTTCGTTTCTTGGGTTAAGTGACTCACTTCTGTCCATGATGGTCTTGAGGTTCCGGCTTTTTACCACCTCATTATTGGGCATCATCATATCTTTGTCTTTGCTCTGATCTTTGATTAATTCTTTATCTTCCTAGGATCCCTTAGGCTGAATCTTGGTTAGATTGCAACAACCCTTCTTTCTTCTCTATAGTTAAAAAATGTCTACAGTTTCGTTCTCGTCTCAAGAATGCTTTACTACTGTACTGGTGACCTTTTCCTTTCCGTCTTGTACCTGGGATAACACACCACCAAATCTCACATTACTAGGATCGGCTTCAATGATAAACGGTTCGCTGAACTGTGCGTATGTCCAGATTGAGACTCCAGAGAGTGCTGAAGTTTTTAAATGCGCTTTTGCATTCGGGTGTCTATTGGAATAAAACTTCATCTTCGGCAAGTCTGTGTAGTGATCGTATGAATCTTCGACGGTAGGAGCGAAGTCCCAGAAATCTTTTTTAAATTCGTGCCGACCCTTGGTAAGGGCCAATTTCGTAAGATGTCCGTTTTGCATGGGTCGGCCCTAATTTCTTCCATTGTTATAACATGCCCCAGGTACTTCTGTTCTCTCAGGGCATATGTCTTAGGACTTAGCTTAAGCGCATGTCTTAGAACTAAGCTTCAGCGCATGCCTTAGGTCTTAGCTTTAATTTTGCGATTGTCAATTTTTTGAATACTTCGATCACGTTTTGGAGATAATGGTCGTCACCAGTATGATGGTGTCGTCTAGGTAACCAAACAGATTTCCCAGTTTAGTCCTTATAATACAGTGTGCATGACTCTTTCGAATGTAGCCGGTGAATTGCACAATCCGAAGTACATTGAACTTTCAGTTTCACTTCTATGTGCCAGTATTCACTTTTCTAGTCGGGAGTAGAGAACTATTTAGCTTCAACTAAACTCTCTAAGGTGTCGTCGATTCGTACTTGTGTACCAGCACTATAGAAGCCCAAGAAATTAGAGCTGGTTAGATCACCCCTTGTCTATGGATGTCCTTTATAAGATTATTAACTTCCTCTTGTTTAGCCTAGGGAATTCTTCTGGGTGGTTGCTTGATAGGCCTTGCTGTTCTAGTGTTGATGCAGTGGCATGTTAAGTTTGTCCTACTAAAGTCTTAATGTGAGATGACGATGACTTCACGATCTTTCTAAATATGTATGACTTGCTAGGGTTATTTGTTATTCGTGGAAACTTCCATGAAAATTGGATAAAATTCTTTGGCGACGCTGAATTCGTTCTTCTCTCATCGAGTTTTTTGGATGATGTAATGTTTGTCGGGAAGCCGGCGAATTACTATCTTAAATAGAGATGGTTGTGTTTTTCTTTATTCAATAATTTTTGACTTTAAACGTAGTGCGAGAGCTTGGAAAAACATTTTTAATATTATGAACATTAATAAAACAATTTTGCGCTAATTATTAGATCAACTTAAAAGTATTTAAACGTTTTTTAGATTTTTATTAAAGTTCGTAATAAATTTTAAAAATTACTAGTTAAGTAATACCAAGAAAAAGTAATTTACTGTATTTTAAATTTAACCATCACCAATAAATATAACTTGAAAAAATCTACATTTTATCATTCATCATGAACATAAAGTTTTATTTACGTGGGAGCTTGCAGCACATATCAAATATGTAATACACAAACGCATTCCGAATTGTTTTCATGGGCAGCTCAGTTGCGATGAAATTTCAACCACTCCTTTCGAAATGCATATAATTTAAAGCATTCCTAGCAATTTTTACTTGAACTTCATATACACATGCAGATACATTTGGAACAAGGTTTGAATATAAAATTCCATTTAAATAAAATTTATTGTGATTTACTTTCT